GAAAGAAAAAAAAAAAAAAAAATTCCACAAAAAAAAAGGGGGGGGGGGGGGGAAGGACGGAAAGGAGCCGCAGAGAGAATTCCCATGAAAGATAAAAGCAATAATATTTACCATTTCACCAAAAAGAAAAGGGAATAATCTTCACTAGCATCAGAAAATAATTTCAAGAAACAGGAAATGAGTGAAAAGACTGGGATTGGATTCAGAACTTACCGAGATACAACCGGAGCAGAAGCAGAATCTGGGGAATTTGGTTGGAGAAGAAAGTAAAGAGCGAGAAATTCTAGACAGAGAGAGAGAGATCCAGGAGTAAATGAAGTTTCGAATTTTATCAGTAAGCTGATATTTATTGAATTTTTTATTTGTATATTATTATTGGAAAGGGGTTTTGGATATGGGAGACTCAGACTGACTGAGGGTTTGGTTTATAACGTTTCAGCTGCTGAAGAAAGAAAGAAGGGCTTTAATTCTGCAGCTGCAATGTGAATAAGGGCTTTGTTTTTAGCATATAATATTCATACTCGTTATGCGGTTTCATAGGATTTGCATCCTACTAAGTTTAATGTCGCCACGTATAACTAGGGTACATGAGTCCATGAGTTCTCACCATTGAATTGGGCTTTCACCAGAAGTTTGGCCCGGAATCGTGTTTCAAAACAAAACAAAAGAGGATAGGGGACAATTTTTTCCGGTTAATATTTTTTTTAGTTAAATAACTATGCTCATATTTATTTTAATAATCCGAACTATTATTTAGGATTTAAATTATAGTTTATAATTTAAATTGATGTTTAGAACATAATAAATTTAAAGACAATTTAAACTATTAACAATAGTTCAAACCTTAATTTTAAATTGATGTTTAGGATTTTGTACGTATTTAAAATCATAGAGGCTCTAGTAATTTCATGTTTATTATGCACCAATCGCAATCAATCAATGATGGAGACCATTCGCGCACGTGTTACCTGGCTACGTTATTGCACGGCCTACCTCTTATAAGTTGCATCTACCCAAAAATACCAAGAATTGCAAGTTGATCATCTCATCGCCATCTACTTCACGTGTACGAACGCAAAAATACATCTATCTCTCTGGCATAATTAAAAGATACTTTGAAGATTATCATCATATTTCTAGAATTATTATTCGGATTATTTTTTATCATTTATCTTAGGATTACTGTAGTTATCTTTATTTTCAAATTAAGAATTAAATTTGCTTTATATTTTGACTCCTATTTATCAGACACCTTGCACTAAATTTATCTTAAAGAGTTTGGTGAACAAATTACCATTCAAAATTTTTACTCAATTTTTGGAGTGCAAATTTTCCAGAGTATTTTGGGTGAATTAATGAGTTTTAGAAAAAGTGATATATTTTCCCCACTATCAACTGCTATAAGAGAACCTTCCAAGCAATATAATAGTAGTAAACAAAGAAATGAAGCTACTAAAAAAAAAAAAAAAACCCTGTTGTCGAGACCCAAGAAAAGACCTTTGTGAAGGACTTTCCTTTACGGCTAATATCATTTTCAAGAGCCAAAGGCTGCAATCGAGATCTTATTGAATTTTTTATTATTATCATTTTTTTCTCACATTAAAAGGTCGCGCTTCACATGAATCTCATTCTTAAAGGCCCCAATACAATGACTGCCCAAACAAATTGCTTTGCGTTGGGGAATTGGATTCCCTAATCACTTGGCAAAGTCCGAGAAAGTTCAGACCGAGAGTATTAGTTCAGGAATATCAACAAATTAGGATTAAAAAAAAGTTAGGCATATATCAGTTTAGATTCACAGAAAAACCATTACATTGGCAAAGTATTGATGGCCATCTTGTGGCCCTCACTTGTGTGCAGAATGGAAAAAAGTTGCGGTAGACATAAATATAACCAAGCAACAATCGCACATGTTATAGTGATACATATATATTTTTATAAGTAGATGTTTACATCCGCGAGTCGGATAAAAAAAATTCCCACAATACAATTACGGTGGAGCACATACTAAAATTTTTATAAGAATAAAGAAAAAAAACTTGAACTGAGTAATTATCGCTAGATCAGTTCTTTCTACATTCACAATGACATAAAGAAAATTTTAGGAGGGAAGAAAAGCCTCAAAGAATATGCTAAAATAGCAGTCGAAAAACGCAAACTAACTGAAGCTATGCATGCAACTTGCAATAAAAGCCACGCCACTTGGTAACAGAGACAATCGATCCGTAAAATCACCTCTTCGCTAGCCTTTTTCCAGGAGATCTGTCGCCACCACCCAGCAAATATAAATACATAATGCACTGAGATGACGGAAGAAAAGGGAATATGTAAATCACAAAAAACCAAACAAAACTATTTGCATGGTAGTGAGTACATTTCTCTAGTGATCCTTTTCTTCATCTTCTAAAACACCCAAATTAAGACATCAGGCGTAATAGCTTATAATGGAACGACAATTTGTCACCTATCAAGCTATATCATCTAGGAAATGAACGGACAGCCCCCCAAATTGAAAACATTCTTGAATTGTCTATTCTGGTGACATATATGCACCTTTAGCATACATAACCATAAACTCTAAAAACAGAGATTCCTTTCCTACAACTCTCAAGTCTTAACTTGGTAGTTTACATTGTTCTATTACCAAAATGCTCTAAAGCAGTGATCCCTTGATGCAATACAAGTCATACCCAAAAGTTTTATTCAGAGATATGTTTTTGTCTCACCTAAGTAAGGGATCCAAATGGCTGGACCGAGAATCTTCACAGGGACCTAGTGGTTTGGCGTAAGCACTGTCAACAGCAAAAAGAGAGTCATAACTAATGCTATGAGGGAGGGGGGGATTGCTGGTCAAACAAACAGTTAATATACATGCAAAAGAAAGAAGTAGTAATTATATGCTGCAAAATTTGCATGTTAGTTTGCAAGAAATAACTTCAGCCAAAGTTAGTTACGGGAATTTAGTTAGAAAAGTACTGCTTGTAAGCAGTCCATACAATATAAACATAGAGCATCCTGAAAGGGTAACCATTTATGGAATGTATAACTGTAATAACTAATGACAGATTAAAAAACATATAATGTCTTTAAGAAATTACCAAAAATTTTAGCATAATTTCAATTAGTTGCAGTTGTAGTGAAAAGGTTTAAAAGAGCATGGGAGTTAGAGATGGCACTTTAGATCAATTAATCACCAGAGACAAAATTGGATTTTCACACTGGCCCAACCAATTCCTTTTAGGCTGACGGGGTTCCTTCATTATTCGTACCCCACTCTTCGTCCGCCTCGTTACCATTAACGAGTACTGCACCATCTGTAGAATCAGCATCTGCTACGATAGCTTCATCCACTACAACAGCCTCCTCTTGACTCCCATCTTCTCCATTTTGTTCCTCAACAGCCTCTTCACCATTCTGTTCAGTGACCTAGTCATATAACATAAAAAAAAAAAGGTCAGATAAGACAGATGTGATTCAAAGCAAAAGCCAACTAGAAAAACACCACGAAATGTCATGAAAATTAAATTAGCTGATCAGCTCTAATGATCCATGCAAACAAGTGTGGAACATGACAACCCTTTACCAATCCATAAAGGATACCTACCAGAACAAGGAGATCAATTACGTTTATGGCAACAGAGTTGTACTATGTGATGCAAATATGAGTTCCGATCTTAAAATATTCGGACCAGAAACGAAATATCATACTCCAATGAATAAGAAAATTTGCATCCTCGCATATACCTCATAATTTGCATCTCCATTTTCAAGACTCTCCTCTTCATCCAGTTGCATGTTCCTGAAAGCCTCCACAAGGGTCATGTGCGATTTATCAGCATAGTTTAAATATTCCTCTGCGTGAGGGTAAACACCCCTGGAAAACAACCAAAAAGGAAAGTCAGTAGACGCCATGTACCTACCAGGAGGCAATTCAAAGAAAACGGAAACACATCTGAATCAAGTAATCGGCAGGCCAGTACGAATGTAAGCCACATAATACAGTAGGCCACAACTTAATAAGCTAAAAACAAGTCACAAGGGAAATTCTTAAGCAAAAAGACAACTTAAATAAGATCATTGGAGGTACAAAAAGATATCCAAGCCAATGCGTACACAATAGTTTGAAAAAATCATTCACAAAAATGATTAAAACACACACACGGACACGCACACGCGCCCGCGTGTGCGTGCACACACACACACACACACACAGAACCAGCAGAAGGCTACCTTGTCTCTGTTGCTTTAGATTCGACAGAAAGAGCAACTTGCCAATCCTCAAATAAGTTAGGATACTCTTCAGGATCAGCCAATGATTCAGCAGCTTTTAGATTAACCTACAGGTTGTGTGTTAAAAGAACCCTGATTAGCGACATGGACACGTAGACGAAACACAGGTGCTATAGTAACTCAAAAAAAAAAAAAAGGTGCCATGGAACATTACCTTATTTAGATCTTTTCTCCAAATAGCAACTATCTCTGAGACCTTGCTTGGAAGATAAGATCGAGCCATTAAAGCAGCCTCAGGTATCCGCTTACTGCCAAAAGAGGGGAGCGTAACAGTATAAATAGTGACAGCAAACACTTCATTACTGCAACAATCAATAGAGCTATTCGCATGACTCATCTTTTTTCATATTTCACAAATACAAACTACAAAGAGACTTACCTTTCCACCAAGAGCTCAAGGCAATCTTCCAACCGACCCAACATGAATAAACAAAGGAATGCAACATTGTTCTTTCCTTGCTCTTTAGCAAGGGCTGCAAGTTTTGATATCCCTTCAGCATCTCCTAAAGAAGAATAAAGCAGTAGCAAACCGCTCAAGTCCACGGCATGCTTCAAACATTCTTCAGCCATCTCTAACTGCAGTAGTGCAACTCAGCATAAGAAAAACTTCATTTAAAAAAGAAAAAAAAAGTGAATAACTTTCAAAAAACAAAAAAAAAACAAAAACAAAAACAAAACAAAAAACAAACAAAATTGACAGGATAACATATAAATAACAAGAACACCTTTCCAGTAGACATTGCTAGTTCTCCTAACTGCTTCCATTTAGACTCACTTTGCACTTCAGAGGCAATTTCCTGGAAATCAGTGTTAAGAAGAAAATTGCTAAATATAATGGCTTCGAAACTCACTCTCACATTGAAGTAAACAAAAACCTCCATAATAGTTGAATATCCCTCGTGGACAAAATCACATGGACTTACCTTTGCAACATCTAGTCTACCAAGCTGTATTGCTAGGTCAAATCTGTAATCAGGATCAGTAGCCACTTCAAGTGCCTCCTCTACCATTCCTCGTGATTCCAAGAAATGAGCCACGCTACACATTAAAGGAGATAAAACAGTGAGGAGTTAGGATCCAAGAAAGAATTTGATAAGCAAACTTCCTAAAAATCTTTTTTTTTTTGTCTATTAATTTTAGAAAAGAAGATTTGATCTTAAAAGATACATATAAGGCATGATTTAACAAACCATCAAAGGAAAAGTTGATCAAATGCAAAACTGTCGTTGTTGCAGAGGTCAAAGTTTGGACATACCTATTATGGTGCTCTTTGGGAATAGTAGGCAAAACTTGATTGGCACTTTCTAGGTCTCCCCGCATCACGAGAGTCTTGTATTTAGAAAAGAAGATTTGATCTTAAAAGATACATATAAGGCATGATTTAACAAACCATCAAAGGAAAAGTTGATCAAATGCAAAACTGTCGTTGTTGCAGAGGTCAAAGTTTGGACATACCTATTATGGTGCTCTTTGGGAATAGTAGGCAAAACTTGATTGGCACTTTCTAGGTCTCCCCGCATCACGAGAGTCTTGTACTCAATTAAGTTGAGAAGCAAAGTGTACCCTATGACACTGCACAGAG